CGATGCTCATCCTCCCAACCCGACCAATACAAGGTCGTCAGACAAACCCCTTGACTTACTCGAGTGCGTCTCAGGCACGCTAGCGGGTGCACCGGCAGCGAGGCGGTCGGAATAGCGTCTAGGACCTCCTCCCTTCGCAACACACTTCTTAGATTTCGGCGCCATTGGGGGACGAGGTGGGAATTCTCTCTCTTTAGAAAATTTTCAAGATTCCTGAGCACGGTAACTCTCAAAGGAAGGGAACAAAGCCTATTTAAGGGCGGAGTTGCTTACATGGCCACGATCGCCCCCAAGAGGCAAAACGCTAGCGGACGAGAGATGTGACCACGATCGAAATCAACGGTCTAGATGGCTCCCAACATTTCGAAGGAACCGTCGAAGCGGGAGACAAGCCGGTCGAAACCCGGAACCCGAGCCGAAATCGGCGGCTGGATCTGACGGTTGGATTCGAAAACCGCGGCCACGATTCGAACGAGACGCACGAAGCTAACGTCAGATTGTCGAATCATAATTGATGCGACCTGACGGAACCATGCCGCCTTAGCTGGAAAGCACGAAGCCCCATCGGCGGACGCGTGGATCACTCCTACCGAACCTAATTCCGCCCAAAAGAAGGGTTTCGCCTACAAAAGCCTGGCTCGACCCCGCAAATTCAAATTTTGCCTGCGAAAATGAATTTTGTCCGAACGATTTGTTCGCCTTTGAGGGCGGGTAACAGATGACACTACTCGTCTAAAGTCAGGGACCACCGACGAAATGATCTCATCCCAAACCCACGCCTCAGACGGTTAAGGGTTAGAGTAGAAATCTTAGCATTAAGCCTAAGGAAAACTATTCGACAACTCATCATACTGAGGGGAATAGTATGGCTAGCCCGATTCAAACGGTAATCGGTAAAGGCAAATCAAACCCGTTGATAGCCGAGGGTTTGCTAAAAATCCTAGAAAAGGCCAAATACACCTGACTCGCCAAGAACTTCTTTATTCAAAGTATTCCAGACCACACACAAATTGGCTTAGGTCTGAAAACTTTGAAGGGAGTCTTGTAGACGGTAAAAATTACCGCCACGAATTTGTACAACAGGTTGGGCTCACTGGTGCGAACCCAAACCGCACGAGCCCCATATTCGCCCTCATGAGCCAAAGTCATCTAGATTCACCGGAGCCCCATATTCGCCCTCATGAGCCAAAGTCATCTAGATTCGCCGGTAGGGCATGCTCGCCCTCATGAGCCAAAGTTACCCAGATTCGCCTGTATGATTGACTCGCCTGCCTGAGTCAATATCATCCAAATTCGCCCGCTTACTCGACTCGCTTGCACAAGTCGAGAGCCAAATTCGTACCTGACGGCCCTTCCCCACTTCCCGTGATGTGAGGGGAGGGCGCACAGTGCTCCAAGCCCGTCGAGTGGCCGCTCACAGTACGAGCGAGCGGACAGGCGCCAAATCAGCCTACGCACTCATAAATGCAGTTCACCTCGCCCGTCCGAGTCGAGAACTAGATTCATCGGTATCCGGCGAGCTGTCCAAACCCACTCGAGTACTGGGCACCCATCATCCCACTTCTCGTGATGTGAAGGGAGAGGGCACAGTACTCCAAGCCCGTCGAATAGCCGCTCACAGCACGAGTGATCGGATAGACGCCAGATTAACCTGCGCCTCCATAAATGCAGTTCACCTCACCTGTCCCAGTCAAGGTCTGGATTCGCCGGCATTTGGCAAGCTGGCCAAATACACTCGAGTGTTGGGCAGCAGCTATCTAACATACGAGAAAGGGGCCTTTTCACTCTTACACCACATGATGTGAAACACGGGCCCCTCGAATGACCGATCATAGTACAGGTGAGCCGCAAGATACCTCTCAACAGTACATGGTCACATCCTATGATTCAAGGAGCAACCAAGCTGTCTCCCCTCTATTTAAGAGCTTCTTCCAGCCACAGTAAAGAGGTTACGTTCAGCAGTTCGCCCATAGTTAATTGATTGATCCAATCAGTTAACCGAACCACTAGCCCTCGACTCCCGATCGGGTCAACGGCAAGCTCTTTGCATAATCTTTGCACTGTAACATCCTCTTCTAGTTCCGAGCCCTGATCGCCGTCGAACTAGGAGATTCGAACTCTATCAATCCGAGCCTCTTCTGCGTACTGAAGCTCGCCAGCAACCTCAGTCGAACCGTCCAAGGGAAGCAGACTCGGTGCGAGAATCAAGCGAAGCATCCTGTAGCTACCGAAAATCTCCACATTAAACAAGGAGGGCATTCCCTCCGCTTCTGTTGTAATTTCGATTAACTAGTTTGTAATAAGTCATTCTTATAAATACAAACGAAGTTCCCTGTTTTCGGGAGATCAAAATTTACACCATACATACCTCAAAATCAATCCTAATCCCTTTGCCACAAACTAAAGAAGAAGAATCCCAGTGAGTCTGAACTGATGCGGCGTTTAAGCAGTTGTCTTAGTAAAAGTCTTTTCTTTTTTTACGCTAGATTTTTCTTTGGGTTTTCAATCATCTTATTTCTAGGGTTGTTGAGTTTATGACTAAAATATTTGTAGTTTGTTGTGGATATTGTGTAGTGATTAAATGAGCCCCAAATTTGGTCTAATTTGTAGTAGATAATATTGGGCTAAAAGATTTGCAGTTTGTTGTGAATTAATGTGTTTTATTGACTAATGGTTGTACGATTTCTAAAATTTATTTTCAGTCAATTTAGGGTTTAAATATTTGCAGTTTGTGAAAATATGGTTGGTAAACTAAGAGGGATTGAAGGAGTATTAATGGCTAGAGAAGGAGAGTTAAGGGAATGGAGGAGTGTCAATGGCCTTTATAGACTCCTCCATTGGATAAAGCTGTTAGTTTTTTTTGGTTTTGCTTAAAAATTTACTATTGGCCTAGGAGAAGAAGAAAGAGAGGGATCAGGTCTTGGTTATGTAGATTATGTCTGGGTTATATGGGATAAAGAGATCGAGTTAATGTGTTTGATTTAAATGG